AGCTGGAGGTAGTTACAGGCTGGAGGCTGCTTCAGTTCCGGGCCAACTGGCTTCGCCTCACCCGGGCCTCCGCAGCTCTGTGCAGTGAAGTGTGTCCGGGGCCTGTGCCACGGCCTCCCTCCTTCCCCACAACTTCTCGGAGAACAAGAGACACCTGTCAACTCATTGCTTCGGATTCTCGTCTTGGCTTCGTCTCCAGGTGTGCTGATTTGTGAGTGTAATGACGCTCAGCTGCCTGTACCCGGCCCTGACTGTCCTGAAGTGGGGAGGCAGCCTAGACCCCAGTTCAAGGTCTCCATCATGTGTACGAGGTCTTGACACTTTGACCTGGCCTTTTCTGTCCATCTCTGCTTCCTCTAGACTGGAGGCCTGGGGCTGTCGCAGGACCTCCTTTTTCCTTCCTGCACTTCATGATCAAGGAGGTTTGCACCTGTCTCTATCGCAAAGTTGATCCTTAGGCTCTGAGGTTTTATCATCTGAAGTATCTTAGTTTTCCACCATTGATAGGAGCTCTTGGGTTGTTTTAGAATACAGACGAGATGATCCAGATGTTTACTTTTTATTTCTTACTTAGACTTCTTAGATTTTGACAGTTTGCTTTCCTTTAAAAACTACATCAAAATTTTAAATACTTAAAATTTTTTTTTACTGTTTATTTATTTTTGAAACAGAGAGAGACAGAGTGTGAGTGGGAGAGGGCCAAGAAAGAGGGAGACACAGAATCAAAGCAGGCTCCATCCAGGCTCTGAGGTGTCGGCACAGAGCATGACGTGGGGCTCAAACCGTAAGATCATGACCTGAGCTGAAGTTGGATGCTTAAACCGACTGAGCCACTCAGGCACTCCAAAATTTAAACACTTTAAGGGACTTTAAAAATTTACTAAGTTACTGAAATACTTTCACAGTATTTTAAAACTGCATTTACACATTTACTGTGGTTTTTTTTCCTGTGTATTTCAATTGTCTGACTTCCTAAAAATTCCCCAAATGCTAAATAATTCTTTTTTTTAATGTTTTTTTTTTTTTTTAAAATTTATTTCTAGGAGAGAGAGAGAGAGAGAGACAGCGTGAGCAGGGGAGGGTCAGAGAGAGAGGGAGTCACAGACTCTGAAACAGGCTCCAGGCTCTGAGCTGGCAGTCAGCACAGAGCCTGACGCGGGGCTCAAACCCACGAACCGCGAATCATGACCCAAGCGAAAGTCGGGCGCTTAACCGACTAAGCCACCCAGGTGCCCCTAAATAATTCTTATAAGTATAATAAATAATACTTACAAGTGATACTAAAGTGATTCTAGAGTTTTCTCTAGAACATCTAGAGATGTTCCAAAGCTATGCAAAATATTAGGAAGATTTCATCTTCAAAATTATCTAAATCAGTTTCTCAGTTACATTTTTTTATTTTTAATTTTTTAAATGCTTATGTATTTTGAGAAAGAGAAAGAGAGAATGTGAGCAGGGAGGAGCAGAGAGGGAGGGAGACACAGAATCCAAAGCAGGCTCCAAGCTCTGAGCTGTCAGCACAGAGCCCGATGCGGGGCTGGAACTAAAGAACTGTGAGATCATGACCTAGGCCGAATTCAGACACTCAGGCCACCCAGGCGCCCCTCGGTTGCATATTTTTAATAGCAATTGCAAGGTTGTTCCTGAGACCGAATCATTCAAACATTAATCATTACCATGTATGCACAGATCCTTTCTTAGCACAAAAACATAAATACTATAGTCTTTATCTCTTAAGCCTTAGATACTTCTTTAATTTTTTTAACGTTTTATTTATTTCTAGGAGAGAGAGAGAGAGAGACAGCGTGAGCAGGGGAGGGTCAGAGAGAGAGGGAGTGACAGACTCTGAAACAGGCTCCAGGCTCTGAGCTGGCACTCAGCACAGAGCCCGACGCGGGGCTCGAACCCACGAACCACGAGATCATGACCTAAGCGAAAGTCGGACGCTTAACCGACTAAGCCACCCAGGCGCCCCTAGATACTTCTTGAAAAGAGATAATCCAATTCATTTTTTTTCTTTCACTTTTATTTTGAGGTAAAATTAACATACAACTTTAAGTTGTGATGTAATACGATGATATGTATGTCAGTGTACAATGTACAATGTACAATGGTATTTGTATATATTGTGAAATAATGACCACAATATGAGTAGTTAATATCAATCACCACACAAACTTATTTTTCTTTTGTGTGACTCTGAATGTGTCCTGTTAGTCACTGTCAAATAGGCAACTCAGTATTATCAACTATAGTCCACAGGCTCTAAGTCATTTTATCCACATGACTTATTTTATAACTGGATATTTGTGCCTTTTGACACAATTCACACAATTTTTATCTGCTGCCAAGCCCCCAACTCTGGGAACCACCAATCTGTTCTACAAAAATATGGAATGGTTCATGAATTTATGTGTTGCCCTTGGGCTGACAGCAGAGAGACTGATGTGGGCTCAAACTCATGAACTGTGAGATCATGACCTGAGCAAAAGTCAGAAGCTCAACTGACTGAGTCATCCGGGCGCCCCTATGTTTTGAATGTTTGAACAATATTATGTTCCTAAAATAAACCCCACTTGGTTAAAACTTGATGTTTTAACAGTTGGTATATTATTTAATCTTTAATGTTTGGGAGAATTTGCCCTTGAAAACATCTGAGCCTGCAGTTTTCTTTAGGGGAGAGTTTAAACTCCAAATTAAATATCTCTGATTGAGAGAGGCCTTTCAGGCTATTTATTCTTGAGTGAGGCTCGGTTGTTGGTTTTCCTCAAGGCTTCAGGAAATTTGTGCATTTCATAAATATGTCCTACTTATTGACATGAAATTGTTCATAAATTTATCACCCTTTCATTTTCTGTAGGATCTATAATGATGTTCTTGCTTTCATTCCTGATGCTGGCAATTTGTGTATTTCTTGCTCTTTCTGTCCAAACTGGCTAAGAATTGATCAGTTTTATGAATATTTTTTAAAGAATCTGCTTTGGGACTTATTAGTTTTCTCTATGACCAATGTCCTCTATCGTTATTCAGCTTTCTAACTCATCTATTTCTAAGATTCTCCTTCTTTTGTAATGTTTGTTTATTTTTGAGAGAGGGAGCGAGACAGAGCATGAAAATGGGAGGGGCAGAGAGAGAGGGAGACACAGAATCCGAAGCAGGCTCCAGGCTCTGAGCTCTCAGCACAGAGCCCGACGCGGGGCTCAAAACCACAAACCGTGAGATCATGACCTGAGCCAAAACCAAGAGTCAGACTCTTGACCAACTGAGCCACCCAGGCACCCCTTCACTTGTATTTCTATATAACATATATCTAGACTGGGATTTGCTAAGCCAAAGTACATACCTTCCAAATTTTGATGTGTCAAGACCTGTGAAGGGTCTGAGATTTTCACCTTATTGCAAACTAAGAAGTTAACTTGCCAGTTTTGTGGAAGCTGACAGAAGACACGAGACTCACAGATTAGAGACACAAGACCTTACTACCCACAGGGAAAGCAATGGCCAGAGTGTGAGCACATTTGCACCAGTTCTTGGGGCCCCAGTTCCAACAGGGCCACGTGGAGGGCCAGATGACGCCAGCATTTGCAAGGGGCCAGGGGACCAGCACTTTTTTAGCACAGAGCCAACACTGTAGTAAGCAGCAAACAAGCCAGTCCCCTTCCACACCAGAAGCGAGCAGTTACAGGGTACTCACTCTGCAAGAGCCTTGACCTACGAGCTGCCTGCGAGCATGGCTGCAGAAAGCGCTCGGCACCGGGAGGCGGAGAAGCCTTGCAGACTGTTCTGCTCAGCGCTCAGCAAGGGCGTGCAGGAGCGCTCAGGGCTCATGGCGGGCAGCCCTCCCAAAGGCACTTCTGTCCAGAAAGGCTGTGCCCATAGAAGACTGACTTCACCTGTGTATTAAAGAGGTGTATGTCTGAAATACTTCATCGCTGATATGGATGCTTTATCAATCTTTGTAACTTCAGACAACCGATGGGCTAAAAAATGAGTTCCCTTTTTTGTGTTACTTCTCACATACCTTCTCGTGAGTTGAGCACCTTGTTTCAAACGTTTATTGGTACTTTGTTAGATTATTCTTGAAAGCCTACTCCTCCTTCTGACATTCCTCCTTCCAGGTTCTGACTGGGGGACGCGGGGGGAGCTCCGTTTGTGGTCAGTGTTGCACGCGTTTTCCGCTTTCTGATCGTCTTGAACTGGCATTTCCCCCCAGCCTGTGCTGTGTGGACACGAGCTGTCTGGCGCGTGCGGCGATCGTTCCCGGGATCCGAAGAGTCGCGTGTCCGGCACTGCGACAGCTCCTTTCGGTCCTACGTGAACAGACTCTGCGTCTTGAAGGAGGAAACGCGGTGTAAACAGCCCCCAATCCCGCGGTGGCACGAAACACGTCTTCCAGGCTCACGGAGTAATGATACATTCGGAGCTTCCCTTCTCCGCTTTCCTCAAGCCTCTGGGTCCCAATTCTCATCTGCAGACAAAGGCAGCGAGGATCTTTCTAGAAACGAACTGAGTGTAAACTCAGCAATAACCACTCTCAGCATAAATGCTTGAGCTGGTATGTACTGAACAGGCGCTAATATTTTCTAGTAGGAAATTCTAGCAGTTTCCTTGGGGGGTGCTTTAGCGGTCAAGCCTGTGCAGCTTGGCGGTGCCCCCTCCCACGTACACTGACTTTGGGGTGCACATCTGGGAACTAAAGCATGAGAAAACGAGTCCCCGGAGGCCGGAGGGTGGGTCTTCACGCCTTCGCGCCGGCGTTCCGCTCGGGCCGGTCCTCCCGCGGCCCAGCCCCGCCTGCGCCCCGAGCGCGGGCCGCAGCCTGGCGTCCGGCGCAGGTTCCGCCGGCCGCGAGCACCCAATGGGTGCCGAGGCGACGGGCCCGCCCCCCGGCCCTCCCGCAGCCTATCCGGGCCCGCGCGCCCGCCCCCGGCTCCAGCACCCAGCCAATGGGCGCGGGCCCCGCCCCTCCCGGCGCGGGGATCTGGCGCGGCGCGCGGCGTCCGGCGCCCGGTCGCTCGCCGCTCTTCGCACTTGCGTCGCGGCTCCGGGGCAGCCGGGCGTCGCGCCATGGCGTCCCCGGCGGCAGGCGTGGTGGTGATCGTTGGCAGGTAACCGGCCCGACGCGCCGCCCCCGAGGTTCCCCGGGCGCCCCGCTCGCCGTCAGTCTCCCGAGCTGCAGGCGGCGTGGCGGGAGCGCAGCCTCCAGCCCTCGAGGGCGCGGGGCGGCCCTGCACGCCGATGCCAGGCCGGGGCGCCGGTGGCGGCGCGGCCTTGCCGGCTGGGGCTGTTTGTTTCACTTCGGGCTGATTTGCCGGCGAGGTTCGGGAAGCCGACGGCGCAGGCGGCCGCGGGAGTGCCGTGTGTGGAGCCGGTTGGACGATGCCGGGCCCCAACGCAGATAGCCGCGCTAGAGACGCAGAGAGCGGAGAAGGCTCTCCCCGCTGTCGTCCCAACTCTTCCGTCTTGTGGACGGGAAAACAGATTAGGCAGTTTGTGGGACACCCCGCGGAGAGGGCCCTTGCCCACCCTGGACAGGCTGCCTGCGGGGTGAGGGGACGCGCGTGGTTTGTCCCCGGGGTGTCTCGGCGGGGCAGCAGGTGTTGGGGGAACGGCCGGTTCGGTCCCGGTGCCTGCTTAGTGCGGATTAGGCCAAAGGGTGTGTCAGTTTAAGAGCCTAACTTCATCCAAATTTTTGTTTGTGTCCCACCCGCTCTTTAAAAACTCCTGCTATTTGCATTAAAAACACAAGCATTTAAGTGTACCTTTGCAATGATAGGGCATCATAACAGCCTACAGACGTGCTAATACTTGCTCTGTGTGGTTAGAAGCGCCTTTGGGGGCGTGACTGTGTCTGTTTATGCCCCTGAGGTGTGGGCAGACCTTGACCCTCTCCCTCGCGGACTCAGCGTTTTCCCTTTACAACCGGTTGAAAGAAGGAATCGCGATGCTGTTTGTCAGCTTCCTCTCGCTCACAACAGTGGAGTTGACAGCCTTTGACCTTCACAGGCACGTGCATGTGTGTGGTGCCCCGAGGGCATATGAAAATGTGTTTTGAGAGTGTCCTTTGTACTGGATACGGTGACTATGCTAGCTTTGCACGTGAAGGGCCGGAGCTGTGCGGACCTCACTCCGTGCCTTGCAGTGTCCCCCAGGCACCTAATACGTGTTACCTGAGGCTTGGGGTCGATTGTTCTCCCGTGTGGCTCTGGCCCTGGTGCGAGGCAGCTCAGTTTCCCAAGAAGGAGCTGCGATTGGCCAGTCCGTTTAGTTCTGATTTCCTTGAGGGAGTTTGACAAGGAATTACATAGAGTTGGCAAACTTTGATGACCACAGGAATTAGCACAGCACAGGACAGGAAGCCCTTCCTGGGGCGCCTGGGGGGCGCAGTCGGTTGAGCGTCCGACTTCGGCTCAGGTCATGATCTCAGGTTCGTGGGTTCGAGCCCCGTGTGGGCTCTGTGCTGACAGCTCAGAGCCTGGAGCCTGTTTCGGATTCTGTGTCTGTTTCTCTCTGCCCCTCCCCTGCTCACGCTGTCTCTCTCTCTCAGAAATAAAACATTAAAAAAAAAAAAAAAGAAAACCCTTCCTGTCTGTCCCTACACCGTCAGCACCTCAAAAAACACTCATCTCTGCTTCTAGAGTAGTGCTGCTTTCCTTCCCTTCATTCCTCTCTGTTCCCTCCCTCCTCTCCCCTCCTCACTGCTCCTCTCCCTTCCTCCTCCTTCCCCCCCCCCCCCGCCTTTCCTAGCACCCTGGGTGATGCCAGGGAACGTCCATTTACAAAATGGGGCTGGGAGTGTAAGTTAATTTGCTAAAACCTGGTTGTTTCATTCTTGGATTTCAGTTGACCAAAATATACATATTTCAGTTTCAGGGACATATGGGACCATTGTTTTTCCATCGTTTCCTAGTAATTACTAGACTCCTTAAAAGTAGCTGCTAGAAATTTAGTCCCTATTTAATTCTTTTTCATTGATTTTTTCCATAAAGGCCACTGTTCATCACAGCTTTCCTTTTTTTTTTTTTTTTAATGCTTTATTTATTTCTAGGAGAGAGAGAGACAGCGTGAGCAGGGGAGGGTCAGAGAGAGAGGGAGTCACAGACTGAAGCGGGCTCCAGGCTCTGAGCTGGCAGTCAGCACAGAGCCCGACGCGGAGCTCGAACCCACGAACCGTAAGATCATGACCTAAGCTAAAGTCGGACGCTTAACCAACTAAGCCACCCAGGCGCCCCGTCATCACAGCTTTCCTACAAGCATCCGGGGCGAGTCCCTTCAGAATGGTGGGCTTTAGCCAACAGGACTGTGCTTTGGAAGAATCAAGAAAGAGAAAGAAAAAGCCTCTTGGATCTGGGGCTGTGGGAACATAAAGAGAGGGGAAGTATGGTAATGGCAACTTTACAAAATGGGAGTAAAAGTGGGTGTCCTGAAGACATTCGAGTGGTGTTCTCCAGCGATTGTATCTGTGAGCCCCAGAAGTCTGCAGAGGAGTTTACCTTTATGTAGTACCGTGTTTCTAAATAACTGAAATGTGACTTCTGAATTCGTATACATACCGCAATGTGTTTACCCAAATGTTAGGCCTTGAGCTTGTTTTAAAACAGGAACCAGTCTAGGGGAGAAGGTCAACATCACGTCCTTGGTGCCTCTTTTCACTGAGCGCACTTCTTCGGGACTGAGCTCGGGCCCATCTCCTTCAGGGAAAGTTCAGCTTCCGTGACCCTCCCCTCTGGGTAGAAACTGTATCCTCAGCAGCTGTGTGTCCGTCCTGCCTGGTCCTAGTAGACAGGTGTTCGAGCTTCTATAACAGAGATTGCTTTTTTTTTCCTTTTTACTGCTATGCAGCTTCAGTGGCTTGCTAGGATGCTAGGCTGTTGGGTTTTTTCCTTTTTTTTTTTTTTTAAATTGAGGTAAAATTGGTATATGCCATCATATAGATTTTGAGTGTACAACATTGTAATTTGATATTTGTATACACTACAGGGTGATCACCACCACAGATGTAGTTATCATCCATCATCCTTCCCTCAATTTTCCCCTTGGAAACCCCTTCCCCTCTGGTAACTTCTAGTCTGTTCTCTGTATCTGTGAGTTCAGATTAGTTGAGTTTGTTTTTCAGATTCCACATAAAAGTGAAATCATATGGTATTTGTCTTTGACTTACTTCACTTACTGTAATACCTTCAAGGTCCTTCCCTTTTTGTTTTGTTTTAGTGTTTATTATTGAGAGGGAGGGAGGGAGGGAGAGACAGAGTGTGAGTGGGCGAGGGGCAGAGAGAGGAGACACAGAATGTGAAGCAGGCTCCAGGCTCCGAGCTGTCAGCACAGAGCCCAACGCGAGGCTTGAACCCATGAGATGTGAGATCATGACCTGAGTCCAAGTTGGACGATCAACCGACTGAGCCCCCCAAGGCGCCCCACAAGATACTCCTTTTTTTAAGGCTGAGTAGTATTCCATCGTGCGCGCGCGCGTGTGTGTGTGTGTACACCATGTCTTCTTTATCGTTCATTCCTAGGTGGACACTTAAGTTGTTTTCATATCTTGGCCATTGTAAGTGGTGCTTCAGTGAACGTAGAGGTGTGTTTAACCTTTCAAATTAGTGTGTTTGTATTCTTTGGTAAATAACCAAAAATGAAGTTGCTGGGTTGTATGGTGTTTCTTTTTTTAATTTTTTGAGTAATCTCCGCGCAGTTTTCCATGGTGGCTCTTCCAGTTCCCGTTCTCATCAGTAGCGCACACAGGTTTCCTTCACAGGCTCGCCGACACGCCGTGCTGCTTATGTTTTTGGTTTTAGCCACTTCGACAGGTGTGAGGTGTTATCTCATTGTGGTTTTACTTTGCATTTCCCTCACTGTGATGTTGAACTTCTCACATGTCTGTTGGCCATTTGTATGTTTTCTTTGGGAAAATTTATATTTAGATCCCCTGGGTTGTTTTTCGTTATTGAGTTGCACTTCCTTATATGTATTTTGGATATTAACCCCTTATTGGCTATGTCATTTGCGTATATCTTCTTGCTTTTACTTTTTCATTTTCTTGATGGTTTCCTTCACTGTGCAGACACTTTTTAGTTTCATGTGGTCCCATTTGTTTATTTTTGCTTTTGTTTCCCTTGCCTTTGGTATTAGATCCAAAAAAAATATTGCTAAGACATATGTCAGGGAGCTTACCGCCTACGTTTTCTTCTAGGAGTTTTATAGTTTCAGGTCTTAAATTCATGTCTTTAATTCATTTTGTCAGTTTTATGGATGTTTTTGTACTTCCTTTCTGTTCTTCTCTTACTCTCTTCCCTTGTAGTTTAGTGATTTTCCTTAGTGTTATGTTTAGATTCCTTTCTCATTGTCTTTGTGTGTCTCCTGTAGATTTTTACCTGTGGTTAATTTGAGGTTCTCTCTATATAATAGTGTACTTTAAGTTTATAGAATCTTAAATTTGAATGCATTCTAAAAACTGTACGTTTTAGCCCTTCATATGTTCTGTTTTTAATGTCGTATGTTACATATTTTAATTTTATTTATTCCTTAGTAATTATTGTAGTTATATTTCATTGTACCACTTTTGTGTTTTAATCTTCATATCAGTTTTATAAACAGTTAATCTGCTATATTTACTATATACTTGCATTTGCCAGTGAGATTTTTTTTTTTCTTTCCTATGTTTTCTTACTGCTTTTTAGACCCTTTTCTTTTAAGCTTAAAGAAATCCCTCGAACATTTCTTGTAAGGCTGGTTTACTGATGATAAACTTCAATAGTTTTTGCTTGTCTGGAAAATTCTCTTCTTTCTTTCTTTCTTTCTTTCTTTCTTTCTTTCTTTCTTTCTTTCAAGTTTATTTATTTGCGAGGGGGGAGGAGGGGCAGAGTGAGAGGGAGAGAGAGAATCAGTTCAGGGCTTGACCTCACAAACTGTGAAATCATGACCTGAGCCAAAATCAAGAGTTGGATGCTTAACCAACTGAGCTATCCAGGCACCCCTCTCCTTTAATTCTGAATCATAACCTTGCCAGGTAAAATATTTTTGGCTGGAAGTTTTTTTTCCTTTCAGTATTTTAAATATATCTTGCCACTCCCTTCTGGCCTGCAAACTTTTCTGCTGAAAAATCAGGTCATAG